GGCAGTCGCACTTGCGACCACTCGGCCAACGAGGCAGTCAGACAAAGTGTGTGTCTGTTTGTTTGTCAGTCTTTCACGGAAAAACAAAGTAACAAATTGACGTGATTTCTATAAGTGGAGGTAGTTGAAGGTACGGAGAGTTAATCCTTACTTCCTTACTAATATTATAAATCGGAAAGCGAGTTTGTTTGTTTGTTCCGCTTTCACGCCGTAACTACTAAAGCGATTGCTTTAAATTTTTGCAGACGTAAAGTTAGAAGTCTGGATTAAATAATAGGGTACTTTTTATCCCGAAAAAAAAACAGATATTCCCGAGGGAAAACAAAAGTATTGGTATAGATGGCGCTGTGAGTATTGGTATGTCACATAGGCTACTAAAAAACCTTTTGTGACGCGAGCGAAGCCGCGGGTAAAAGCTAGTAGGTAAGTTATCAAATATCATGCTATGATCAATAAGAGCCAAGCAGCGAGTGAAACCGCGCGAGAGTAATCAATATATTTATATAAGACTCTCCTATAACTGGTTACTAAGTGAGACAACCATTACTTTGAAATTTACATGCTTAAACTGTCAAACACCAAGCGGTCAGCGGTGACCGCAACCTATTGTTCTATAATTGTGTCTACAAAACCGGTACTCGACGAGTTAAACTGTCAAACACCAAGCGGTCACCGGTGACCGCAACCTATTGTTCTATAATTGTGTCTATAATGACGGTACTCGACGAGTTAATCTCATATGTGGGTAAGCAGAGGGGCATATAATATGTAACATCAACTTTTATGGTGGCAAATTATAAAAATTAAATTCTGAAGGTCTTGATGAAAAATATGTTCTGATATTAGTCCTAAGGAATAAAAAAAATCATAAAAATGTTACAATACCTTTTTTAATGGCTGCCTCGACTGCGCAGAGGCCAGTCATGCCAGTGGATCCAAAAATCACGATTTTCATTTTCTGCAAAGGTAAAATACAAGTTATGTATACAGAACACAGGTTGAAACTAAACCAGTTAGGCTGGTTTTATCAAGTACATGAAGGCGAGATACCGTTTATATCTGCAAGTTATATTATCTCTCACAATGTTAGTTAACCCACACAATCAAACCTGTGAGGTGTAAGAATTTCAATTAAAACTTATTTTCATATTTTTTTAATATTCAATTTTTAACCTATGCTTTTTACAGCTTTTTTTTGTAATAAGAACTTACCTGAGCGGTAACTAACTACACAATGCGACTAAAGTACCAAATTAACAATTTTCAACGTAATTAACAATTTAAATAGCTATACGTCGGTAGATGACAATTAAAACCGAAAATATTTTAGACTTAAAGTACATAACAGAATTAATTAAGTAAATGTTTCTTACGTATGTACCGGTATATGATGCAACAACAAAATTGAATAGGTTCTAAGTAGTTACTTTCAGAAGCGGACAAGTTGTGAAATATGAGTTACGGTTACCCGGTAAGGAAGATAAAGATTTACAGTTTCTTATCAGAATCACACTGTGCCGGTAACTATCTATGACATAATTAGTTAAAAACATCGTGTTTTCGTATTTTACTTACCGAAAATATTTCTGCTAACGTAGGACAAGAAATTGTATGAAGTGAGTTGGCTTGAGACTAATTAAATACTGCGCTTAGCTATCGGAAAAATAAATAAAAGTGGGTGACGACACGAGTTTCATTAACAACTTACGTTTCGTTTTACTCTCGCTCAGTCGTCGCTACTTGCTCGTTTCGTTTCAAAGTAGACGTCAAATTGATTGTCAAAGTCCTAGTTAATAACTGTCAATGTCACGGATTTATTAGCTGTACCAAGCCTCGAATATAAATCGATTTTAATACATTTTTCATGTTTTATGCACTTTGCAAACTAAATAATCTAATGAACATTTAAAAAAGGAGTACAGAAATATTCCTTGAAAATATTTTCATTTCATTCATAACAATGGCAATACTGGTACGTTTAGTTTCTATAACAACCACATTTTCAAAATTTGCTTCTATATAATTATAAGGTACAAGTGGAGTTATTACGTTTTTCTATGGTAAAAAAGGCTTTCGCTACAATCATTTCATAATTTTTCATTATACATAAATCAAATTCAATTTAATTTCGACAAGAAAATGAAAAGCAAAGAAACTGACATCACAGATGATTATGTCAAAACAATAATAATAGAATAGCGCAAGAACTAAACGTACATAACCTATACATGTCATGCGTATACTGTTGTAGTGAATGTGGTGTGTGATATAAATTTTGATTTTAAGTGTTGAACATTTAAAATAATTATGACTGAGACAGAAGAATACTTTCCGCGTGGAGGAAAGAAACCTACAACCACATATTTCAAACAAAGCGCAAACGTAAGTACCAATAAACATAAGTTAACTTAGGTCAGTTTGTTATTTGACTAAAAATACCACGTTAAACAGTTTTTAGGAGCACCTGAGAAGGGAGAAAAGAAGAAAAAGAAGCCTAAAAAGAAGGCTGAAGGAGACGATGGATATCTATCGGACGAGGTCACGAAAGAGATCGATCAATCGTATAAACATTGTGCTAATGGTTTAAGTTATAAGGTACGTTATTTTCAAGTTAAAACCGCGATTTTATAACTCCCTAGTCACTGAACAGACCTTTATAAGACGTAAATACACCCAAATCAAAAATATTATCTATAGCATTACAAATAAATGCATAATTAAATTGGCAATATGCTTCATAATAGTTTACAAATGCATGCAGGATGCATGGTATTTTCTAATTTGTTATGGTCTTTTTATTCAACATATCAGTAGTCCCTATAATTATTCTGCAAACGTTTGTGCAATACAGTAAATAATAATTATACAGACTATGATATTTAGTACTCAAGGTTGTGCAATAATTAATTTGTTTCATTAACAGCTGAATAATGTTGAACTGATAGCAAATTGCTGCCTAGTCTATATTCTATTTGGTGCTTAACCCGTTGAAATCCATCCCCTAAATTTGGTCATACAAAAGTAGTCTCTAAACATTACAAATAAGGTCTATAACGTAATGTAATATTAGTGGAAAGCGGTCACCGGTGACCGCTTGGTGTTTTATGGATTAAGTAACAAATAATTGAATGGAAAAAGTTCAAAATGTCTTTGGTTTGTGAGTCTTGCTATAGAATCCACAATATTCAGTAATAATCTGTGGCTAACTTTATTTTAGTACTGTTTTATTTTATTTAATTTATAGTACATATACTTTAATATTTAGTCTTCAAAGTGTATTAAATTTTTAAGTTATTGTCTAAGAAAATGCTAAAACACAACAAAATAACATTTTGTATTACCATCATGGTGGATTCCAATAATGCTTGGTTCAAACGATCAAATCACCTGTTGGTAAGCAATCAGTGTAGCCCATGGACACTCGAGTACCAGAGGTGCTACAAGCCAGTTACCGGCCTTACGAATTAGAGAATTGTTGGGGGTTTTGGGATTGGGGAGATTAGGGAAGGGGAGATTAATTGGGCCTCTGGTAACCTCACACATGACGTGAAACAACGCAAGCATTGTTTCTTTAAGGCCATTTGAAATAATATTTATGTGTATGTTAATTGTATCAAAGGTGAAGTTAAAAAATTATAAACTTTATTACAAGTAAAATCTCTGAAGATTACAATTAATATGATTATGTTATAAATGAAATTAATTTATTTTTTATATCCTTACAGACAGTAAAAGAAGGATTATTAGTGCTTGGCAGAGTGAAAACTATTCTAGAAACCAAAGTAGTAGTCAGTCTACCATGCAGACTGATAGGGTCCATTATGGCATGCCATATAAGTGAACCATACAACAAATTGCTTGAAGCATATGTTAATGATAAGGTGAGTACAATATTAAGTCAATTTAGAGGTACACAATACGGCATTTAATGCCACTGAACAATGTAACACACACTTTTCCCTATTTATGTTATGAGTCCCATGTAATAGGGGGTGAGCCTATTGCCATATAACGGGCACAAGTCCAGACTCCGTGCTACTACTGAGAAATTTTAAAAGTCCCATTTGCCTTGCAGGCGCACTTGCGATCAGCCAATGAGGCAATCATTTACATAAC